TCTCTTGCCTTTTCTTCTGCCATGTGAGGAAACAATGAGGAGTCAGCACTCTGGAACCTGGTAGGGGCCTCACCAGAGCCCAGCCATGCTGGCACCCTGAATTTATGCTTCCCATCTCTAATACTGTAAGAAATCATTTTATGTTGTTTTAAGCCACTCAATCTATAGTGTTTGTTACAGCAGCCCAAACTGTTTAGGACAGTGGCCGTGGGCAAGTTGCTTTACCTCTGTATGTTCTAGTTTGTTCACCTTGAAAATATACACACTAATTATTCCATTATTTTGAGGATTAAATGAGATATGTATAAGGTATTTAGAAAATAGCCAAGTATGTAATAATGTAGTAATAATTATGTAGTAACAATAATACTAGTACATAATCCATAATGTTTAGTAACAAGAAAGTTTGTAGATATTTAAATATGCCACTAGAATTAAAAATTCATTAGAAATACTAAAAAATAAAGTGAGAGACTTCAGAACATAGAAGAAAGCTAAAGATGTAAAATAAAAGAGAATATAAGAAACAGAAATAATTGAGAATATTCAATATCTGACAAGCACAAGTTTCAGAAGAAAATAATGAGATTAAACTTAGGGATATAACTATTAAGAAAATAACAGTAGACTATCCTGGCCAACATGGTGAAACCCCGTCTTTACTGCAAATACAAAATTTAGCTAGGTGTGGTGGCACATGCCTGTAGTCTCAACCACTTGGGAGGCCGAGGCAGGAGAATCGCTTGAACCCAGGAAGCAGAGGTTGCAGTGAGCCAAGATCGAAGCATTGCACTCCAGCCTGGTGACAAAGTGAGACTCCGTCTCAACAAAAAAAGAAAAGAAAAATAATAGTAGAAGTGGGCTGGGCACAGTGGCTCACACCTGTAATCCCAGCACTTTGGGAGGCTGTTGCTCATGGATCACTTGAGGCCAGGAGATCAAGACCAGCCTAGCCAATAAAGTGAAACTCTGACTTTTCTGAAAAAAAAAAAAAAAAAAAAAATCAGCTGGGTGTGGTGGTGGGCACCTATAGTCCCAGCTACTCAAGAGGCTAAGGCAGGAGAATCACTTGAATCCAGGGGGCAGAAGTTACAGTGAGCTGAGATTGCAGATTGCACCACTGTACTCCTGCCTGGGTGACAAAGTAAGATCTGTCTCAAAATAATAATAATCATAGAAGTGAAGTAATCCCAGAGAGAAAAAGGTATAAATTGTTAGAATACATAAATACATTTAATGTTTAGCAAAATGAATGAAAAAAATTATAATACTATTATTAAATTCAAGGCATCTAAAAAGAAAAGAGAAAATCCTAAGGGAAAGAGATACAGAAAATTCCTTTCTTCACAGAAATATGGAGAGAGAGAGAGAGATAAAAAGAGAGAGGTGAGGGTATAAAAAGGATCAAGAATCACACTGGCATAACATTTTTCGTCAAAATTATAAATCTATAATCGGCCAGGTGCGGTGGCTCAACCCTGTAATTCCAGCACTTTGGGAGGCCAAGGCAGGTGGATCATGAGGTCAAGAGATCGAGACCATCCTGGTCAACATGGTGAAACCCCGCCTCTACTAAAAATACAAAAAATTAGCTGGGCATGGTGGCACGTGCCTGTAATCCCAGCTACTCAGGAGGCTGAGGCAGGAGAATTACCTGAACCCAGGAGGCGGAGGTTGCGGTGAGCCGAGATCGCGCCATTGCACTCCAGCCTGGGTAACAAGAGTGAAACTCCATCTCAAAAAAAAAATTTTTTTAATAAATCTATAATCAATGTATTTATGATTTTAAGTTTCCAAGCAAGAATTCTATATCTGGCCAAATCATCAATCAACTATAAAGGAAAACTAAATGCATTTTCAGCCTGGCAGAGACCCAGAAGTGTCTTTTTTTGTGAACCCTCTTTTAGGAAGACACTTCAGGATATACTGCAGCAAAGAGAGGGAATCAAAAGAGAGACAAGAGATCTGCTAAGTAATGTATTCAACAAGGAGAGGTGTGAAGATAAGATGATACAGTTTTGTACAGACTTAGAGACCATTTATTCCATATGGAAGTAAAAAGCTAGAGGGCTTCAGGTTAGGAAAGGTGAATTATTGACTGAGATTTTGAAAATATGGTAAAGCTAGCTAATGGAGTCTAACATGATGAATCTATTTGGTCTTGATTTAGTAACATGCTGTTCTCATTGGTACAACATTGGATCCAAAGAGCAGGAAAGATAGTCTCTGTCACTAAAAAATACAGTGAGAGACTTAGAACATAGAAGAAAAGCTAAAAATGTAAAATAAAAGAGAAATTTAAGGAACAGAGAAACAACTAAGAATATTCAATATCTTTTTTGTTTGTTAGTTTTTTTAGTTTGTTTATTAAGAGTATTCAATATCAGAAAAGCACAAATCTCAGATGGAAATAACGAGATTAAATTTAGAGATACACCATTAAGAAAATAATCGTAGAAATGAAGTAATCTCAAATCTTAGATTACTTAGATCCTTAAGTAATCCCAGACTACTTAAAGTTTTCAGTAAGTAATAGGACTCTGCAATGAATAATTGTCCAATAACCTGAAATTGTTCTGACACTCAGATGTTGGCCATGATCTTCTCCTATTGAATGCTAAACATTTCATAGAAAACCAAGACCAGAAGAGATCCTTGCGACCCTGATGGACCAAGACTTCATGCTTAAGGAGAAACAAAAACAAGAACTACGTCTAAAACAAAAAAAGAAAGAGACAAAAGAGCCCCTTTTCCTTGCTAGTATGTGTGAATGCTGCTTATTTACCAATTACAGATTTAATTTCAGTGTTCTTCCCACTTCCTAAGTGAAATTCTTTTAAAATAATATAGAATTACTCCAATTTTCTGAAAGCATTCAATCCAGAGCTAACCTGTACTTCTTGAACCTCTGTTAAAAACAGCTAACAGAAGCCCAAATCCTATAGCTCCTTTGTGAGACCCTGTTACTAAAGTGAGCCATGTTTCCTACTGTGTGCAGTCTCCTTCATTGCAACAAATCAATAAACCCAACTTTTTTCTGATACAGTGTGTTCTTGATGATTTGGGACTGCAGGGCATTGGTAATTTATATAATCATTAAAAGTAAAATTTAAATATTATCTTCATGTTCTAAAATGTATCTATAGACAAAACAAGGAATTCTTAGCTATGGTGGTAAAAATGTAAAATGTAAAAGTAGAAGTTCAACTGAGAGAGGTTGGAAAGTGTAAGACAGAAACAAATATAAAAGGAAGAATAAGAATGCTATTCTTTTTTCATACAAAAATCAAATGAAACTGTTATTAGTGGAACAATAAAGAGAGGTTTCAGTTTGACCAGAGAAGCACCCCAAATTGTAACATAGATGAAAGTTGTTTTAAGTGCGCTAGTTACTCAGCAATCACAGTAGGAAATTAATTGTCTAAAGTTTATGAATAAGTTACTATATTAGTTTGCTCAGCTGCTGTAGCAAATACCACAGACTGGGTGGCTTAAACAGCAGACATTTCTTTCCTTACAGTTCTAGAGACTGGAAGTCCAAGATCAATGTGTTGGCAGGGTTGGTTTCACTAGGAGGCCTCTCTTTGGCTTGTGGGTGGCTATCTTGTTCTAGTACCTTCACGTCATCATCCCTCTGTGTGTTCACACGTCTGCCATCTCTTTCTATAAGCCATTTTGATATGATTACTTCTTTTTAAGGACCTATCTCTAAACACAGTCACATTCCGAGGTAGTTTCAACATATGAATTTGAGGGAGTATGGGAACACAATTCAGCTCAAAAAAGTTACAAACATATTCCTTAGCGGTTAAAAAAAAAAAAAAAAAGCAAATATAATAAGAGCTTTAAAAAAGGTATAAAATGCTTACCAATGGGATAAAATAAAAAAACAGACCAGTTTGTTGGCAGAAATGTGGAAAAATTTGTACATCCAGACAGTGGGGATAGCAGTGTAAATTAGTACAACCACTGGAAGACTACTGAGAAATGTCTACTAAAAGTAAACATGTACTTACAAGACGGGCAACAATTTCACTCCTAGGCATGCAGGTTGCCAAAAGTCATGTGAAAGAATGTTCATAGCAGTATATTTTCCCACCCCAAATACTGATCTAAAGGATAATTTTTTTTTTTTTGAGATGGAGTTTCACTCTTGTTGTCCAGGCCGGAGTGCGATGCCTTGATCTCGGCTCACAGCAACCTCTGCTTCCCAGTTTCAAGAGATTCTCTTGCCTCAGTCTCCTGAGTAGCTGGGATTTCAGGCATGTGCCACCATGTCCGGCTAATTTTTGTATTTTTAGTAGAAACCAGGTTTTATCATGTTGGACAGTCTGGTCTCAAACTCCAGACCCCAGGTGATCTGCCCTCCTCCACCTCTCAAAGTGCTGGAATTGCAGGCATGGTATATTCATACAGTGAAATATTATACAGCAATGAGAATGAAAAGACTACACTGAAAAGCTGTATTACGGATAAATTTCATAAACATAATGCTAAGTGAAGAATGCCAGACACAGGCAGCTTATACTCTATTACTCTGTTTATATAAATTCAGAAGAGGCAAGGTTAAACTATGGTATTGGAAGTCAGCGTATTTGCTATACTTGGGCTAGGAGTGATTGGAAGGAGTAATTTTTGTGGCACCTGGACTGCCAGTGATGTTCCATTTTCTCATCAATCTGCTGGTACTAAATATGTTACTTTGTGAATATATATTAAGTTGAACACAAAGGATTTGTTCACTTTTCTTCATGTAAGTAATAACTAAATTAAACTGTTTTCAAAAAGTTTGCTAATAGAAATTAGGACTGCGAAAAAAGAGTGAATAGAAGATTGTTGCATTTTGCATATTTTCTAACGTATTTGATTTGTGAGATTATGTATTTGTCTTTGTTTTAAACAATTAAAATACAGACAATGATGTGAAACATTTTTAGGTTTTGCATTTTAGCATCAAATATATAGTGTGATAAAATAGAATGGGCAGAATATATAAAAAATAAAATTAATATTTGATTTTATTAAGATGGTTTATCACGACAAAAACCAACAAGAAGAGAAAAACAAATCTCAGGAAAATCAACAGCATGCATGAATTTGGAATGTCTCCGTAAATAAATGCAATGAAAATAAAATTTAATTTTCAACAATTGGACAACATAAAGCTTAACAGACAAATCCATTAAAAAGGGAAATAAAAGCTAAATCTCAAGGTGAAATTTTTGTGCATGACACTTTCGAATTCTAGATCTGAAAAGGTTTGGGATAAATGGCACAAAACAATGTGTCATTATGAGATCGCTAGTTGAATCCAAAGCTATTCCGGAAGGCTGCAGTTTTCCCTACTTCATCACCAGTGCCCTGGGGCAAAAAGTTGGGGATAATCGGCTTCAGGAACTTGAACTCATTTGTCCCGGAACCTCCCGACAGACACACCTCGTACTGGTAGCTCTGGGACAGGGTCCCGGTGCCGCTCACGTCCACCAGATGCCCTGGAAACGGGCCCTCGGGCACCGAGCAGCCACCCACCGAGGCCGCCCTGCTCCTCCTGCACAGCCGCACCGCCACGAACAGGAGCACCGAGAACAGGAAGAGCGACGACACCGAGGCCAACGCCACCACCAGGTAGACGGTGAGCGAGTCGGCCTGGGCCTGGGCCGGGGCCGCCTCCGGGAGCGGCAGGTAGGGCTGGGAGAAGCCGTCCACCAGGAGCACGTGCAGCGTGGCGGTGGCCGAGCGCGGAGGCTCGCCATTGTCCTTGACCAGCACCAGCAGCCTGTGCTTGGCCGCTTCGCGCTCGCTCAGCAGCCTGGCGGTGCGCACCTCGCCATTGTGCGCCCACACGCCGAACAGCCCGGGCTCCGTGGCCTTGAGCAGCTGGAACGACAGCCAGGCGTTCTGGCCCGAGTCGCCGTCCACCGCCACCACCTTGGTCACCAGGTAGCCCGGCTCGGCCGCCCGGGGCACCAGCTCGGTGCAGGGCGCGGAGCCGTTCTGCAGCGGGTACAGCACGAAGGGCGAGTTGTCGTTGGCGTCCAGCACCAGCACGCGCACCAGCGCCTCGCTGCTCAGCGCCGGGGAGCCGCGGTCTGTGGCGCCCACGCGGAACTCGAACGCCTGCAGGGCCTCGTAGTCCAGCGACCGGAGGGCGAACAGGTGTCCGTTGTCCGCGTTGATGGAGACCAGGGAGGCGAGGGGCATGTGCGTGTCCTGGAGCGGCAGCAGCGAGTAGGTGACCTGGGCGTTGGTGCCTGAGTCTCTGTCTGTGGCGCTGACGGTGCCGATGTGCAGGGCGGGGCTGTTGTTCTCGCGGACGAAGAGGGTGTAGGAGGTTTGAGTGAAGGCGGGGGCGTTGTCATTGACGTCGGAGACCAGAATGGTTATGTTATACTCGGTTTTCAGCCTGGGTGTCCCCAAGTCACTGACGGTGATGGTGATGTTGTACTCAGCTTGGCTCTCTCTGTCCAGTTTTCTCTGTGTCACGAGGGTGTAAAAGTTCTTGAATGTGGGCTTCAAAAGAAAGGGGAGGTCGTTCTGGATGGAGCAAATCATCCTACCGTTGTCCCCGGAGTCTGGATCAGAAACACTGAAAACAGCAACTACAGTTTCCGGGGCGTTTTCTGGGGTAGGGCTGGAGAGCGTCGACAAGGTGAGTTCAGGGGCGTTGTCGTTCACATCCACAACTTCTATAGCCACAGTGCATTTTCCCGAAAGGCCCCCACCATCTGTGGCTACAATTTCCAAGTTGTAATATGGAGTTGCCTCGAAATCCAATGCCCTTTTCAGGCGTATTTCTCCTGTTATTTGGTCTACTACAAATGGTTGAGTAACTTCGTCACCTTGAAATAGAGCATAGGCTACAGTCCCATACGCTCCTGCATCTACATCTCGGGCAGAGACGGCGACAATTAAGGAGTTAAGGGGGCTGTTCTCAGGAACCTGTACCTCATAGAGGGATTGTAAAAATTCGGGGGCGTTGTCATTATTGTCCAAGACGACAATGCGAACTGTGGTGGTCCCGGACCTGGGCGGAGCCCCACCATCCAGTGCCGTGAGTGTTAAGCTGAGCTCAGGTCTCTCCTCCCGGTCTAGTGCTTTGTCCAGCACCAGCTCTGGGTATTTTCTGCCGTCTCCGCGATTATGAGTAGCCACATGAAAGTGGGAATTGGGGCTGATTGTGTAGTTCTGAACAGTGTTGCTACCTATGTCAAAGTCCTGTGCTATTTTCAAAGGAAACACAGTCCCAGGCTGGGTGCCCTCTGAGATTTTTAGGAGCATTTCCCTCTCTGGGAACTCTGGAGAATGGTCATTTATATCTGCGAGCTGCAGATCAGCTTGAAAAAACTGCACTGGGTTTTCTAGTAAGAGTTGGAAATGCAATATACAAGGTTCTGTCGCCCCGCACAACACCTCCCGGTCTAGTTTTTTATATAGAAGCAAATTGCCGTTCTTTATATCAAGCTGCAAGAGCTCTTTGTTTCCTTTGTAATGGATTCGCGCGCCCCGAGTGGCCAGTTCCTCCACCCCGAGACCCAGGTCTTTTGCAAGGTTGCCCACAGAATAACCACTTTCTGTTTCTTCTGGTATGGAATACCTAACTGCCTCAGAGCCAGCCTCCCACAAAAGCAACAGTATAGCAAGAAACATAACTTGCCTTTTCCGTGGCGTTTTTGCTAGCGCAGTCTCCATTGTTCAGACCCGGTCCAGAAGGCGCAGTTTCTTCAACTCGATATACAATCCACGCAGATGATTTGCTTAAATAACCGCGAATTCAATCTTTCTTGACTGAATTGCACAAGAACGACGCCTACTCTGAAGATCTAGCCACTAGATCTTACCTAAAATGCGTCCTTCTTTTAGGAAGCATTCAGTTTGGATTCCCCAGCTTATGGGAGCCTGGGTTATCCGCAGAGCCCACTGTTCACACTCTTAGCCTGCAGCGCCACCAGGCGTCCTAATTTACTATTGCATACAGTATTTGCCAATTCATCCTACATTGTAACCCTGATGTGAATCCAAAGTCTTTTGTCATATAAGCTCTCTCGATGATATCTCCAGTTCTTAGTTACTGGAAGTTCTAAATAAACGTTGCGGAGTTAACTTTCAGTGAGAGATTACTTTTGAGAAAAAACTAAAGTTATATATAAATCTTCTCTATAAAAGTACCTTTGAGTACACAAACATGCTTTCTTTGGTGGGTTTCTTATTTGATTACATTCAGTAAGTGATTATGAATATCTACAGATATTTAACGTTTAAGAAAAATTACTTTTGAAGTAAACACCAATAACACCCAGAAAATGGTACAAATCGTAGGTGTACAACTCAATAAATTTTCACAAAGTGAGCACACTCCTATAAGCAGAACCTAGTTTAAAAATAAAATACTCCCCAAACTCAAGTCCTCACCTGCCACTGTCTGGTTACCACTCTCTCCCCAAAAGATAAGCACTGTTCTGACTTCTGTTGTCATAGATTTTTTTTGCTTTTTTTTTTTTAACTTTATACAAATGGAATTGTATGAAGTTACTGTATACAGATTGTTACTCTCATGTGTCTGGCTTCTTCTCAGTATTATGTTTGTCAAATTGATCTACATCATCTTGTTCTAATTTTTTTATTCTCATTGCTTTATATTATACTGTTGTATGAATATACTATTATTTATTTATTCATTCTCCAGTTGGTGAACATTGGGTTTTTTCCAGTTTTAAGCTATTTTGGGTAGTACTGCTGTAAACATCCTGTACTAGTCTTTTGGTGACCACATATATGTGTTTATGTTGAATATATTCAAAGGAGTTGGATTGCTATGTATTAAGATGTGCACATAAATTTTCCATAGCAAATAATGGGAAAAATTTTCATAAGTAGTTGTACTAATACTAGCAAAGTATGAGAGTTCTAGTTGCTCCACATTCTTGTCAACATTTGATGCTATCTTTTCCATTTTAACCCTCTCTGGTGAGTGTGTGGTGATATCATATTGTAATTTTAGTTATCATTTTCACTGGTGATTAAACAATTTGAGCATTTTCATGTTTATCGGCCATTAGGATACACTCTTGTGAAGGGCTTATGCAAATCTTTTGTACTTTTCTGGTGGGGAAGCATTTGCCTGTTTGTTCTGCAGAAGTTTCTTATATGTTCTGGAAGTCCTTTTTCAGATACAAGTATTGCAAACATCTTTTCCCACTCCATGGTTTATGTTTCAAGTCTATTATGGCATCTTTGATGAATAACATTTCTTTAGTCGGATTTGTCAATAATTTTCATTTATGTTCAGCATTTTTTTGTGTTTTATTTAAATGTTCATAAACTCCAAGGTCATAAAAATATTCTTGTATGATATATTTTTGAAAGATTATTCCACTTTTCATATTTAGAGCTATCATCAACCTGAAATTAATTTTTTTTCAAGCGAATGGGGTTGGAGTCAAACATTTTAAAATGTAAGTATCCAAATGCCTTACACCTTTCGACCATCTATTTAAAAGACAATCCATTTTCCATTGTTTGAAGGGTTGTTTTTGTTATAAGTCAGATGACTATAGCTCTGAAGATGTTTTATTCAATCTTATTTATCCTACAATAACTATGTTAATTATGATAACTTTATCATGAGTTTTGTTATCTGAGAAGTAAGTTCTCAAGTTTTTAAAAAATACACTTTACTTTTAGAGTGGTTTTAGGTTCGCAGCAAAAATGAGAGTAAAGTGCAGAGATTTTACATATGCCCCTGTCTCCACACAAGCACAGCTTCACCCATTATCAACATGCTCCATCAGAGTGGTTCATTTGTTACAACTGATGAATCTGCATTGACACATCATTATAACCCAGAGTCCATAGTTTACATTAGGGCTCACTCTTGGTGCTGTATATTCTATGGCTTTGGACAAATTTAAAATGATATGGATTCAATTTTACAGTATCACACAAAGTAGTTTCACTGCCCTAAAAATCAATCTCCTGTGCCCCACTTATTTATACCTCCCTCCCTTGCCTAGAACCCACTGCAAATGGATTTTTTTCTCTCTCTCCAAAGTTTTGCTTTTTCTAGAACACCATGTAGTTGCAATCATACAGTATGTAGTCTTTTCATATTGGCTTCTTTCACTTAGTAATATCCATTTAGATTTCCTCCCTGTCTTTTCATAGGTTGATAGCTCATTTCTTTGTGATGCTGAATAGTATTCTATGGATTGAACGAACTGCAGTTTGTTTATCCATTCACCTACTGAAGGACATGTTGGTTGCTTCCAAGTTTTGGCAATTTATGAATGAAACTGCTATAAATATCCCTGCACAGGCTTTTGTGTAAACATAAAATTTCAACTCCTTTGGGAAAATCCTAAGGAATATGAATGCTAGATCACATAGTAATAGTATGTTTTGTTTTGTATTCAACTGCCAAACTGTCTTCCAAAGTGTCTACCATTTTGCATTCCCACTAGCAATGAATAAGAGCTCCTGTTGCTCTCATTACCAGCATTTGGCACTGTCAGTGTCCTGGAGTTTGGTCATTCTAATAGATGTGTAGTTGTGCTTCATTGTTATTTTAATTTGCATTTCCCTGTTAACATATAATATGGAGCATCTTTTCATATGTTTATTTGCCAACTGTATATCTTCTTTGGTGAGGTGTCTGTTAAGGTCTTTGGCCCATTTGGTTCTTGTTCCTGAGTTTTAGTAGTTCTTAGTATATTTTGAATAACAGTCCTTTATCGGATATGTCTTTTGCAAATATTTTCTCCTAGTTTATGTCTTCTCTTTTCATTCTCTTCATAGTATCTTTTGCAGAGCAGAAACTTTTAATTTTAATGAAGTCCAGTTTATTAATTCTTTTTTCTATGGATTATGACTTTGGTGTGGTATCTCTAGTTTTGTTCCTTTTCTTCAAGATTGTTTTGGTTATATGTTAAAATAAACAATATTTGGCTCATTAATTTTCACAAAGAAATCTGCTGAAATTTTGTTTAGGATTTTATTGCATCTATAGATTGACTAAGAGAGATCTGAAATATTCCCAACATTGACTCTTCCAATTAGTGAATCTTATATATTCCTGTAATTATTTAGATCTTCTTTAATTTTTCTCAATATTTTACAGTTTTCAGTGAAGTCTGAATACTAGATTCTAGTATTCAGCTAGATTTGTTCATACTATTTTTGAAACCATTGTGCATAATATTTAAATTTTTCACTTTTTATGTTGCTACATAGAAATACAACTCATGTTTGTATGTTGACCTTGTATCCAGTGGCATTAACTTCATTTATCAATTCCAGTAGCCTGTAGATTCTTCATGGCTTTCAATGTATATAATCATGTCTACTTAAAAAGACATTTTAATTTTTTCCCTTCGAATCATAGTGCCTTTATTCCTTCTTTGCTTTATTGTGCTGTTTAGGATCTGTAATAAAATTCTAAATTGGAGAAGAAAAGACAGGTATCCTTGTTATTCTTGATCTCCAGAGGAAAGTTTTCAAAAATTTACCATTAATGATGTTTCCTGTAGGATTTTAAAGTCACTCTAAAAGTTCCCTTCGATTTTAGTTTGCTAAGAACGTTACCATAAGTGTGTACCGAATTTTATCACATGACTTTTTCTGTATTCATTGAAATAATCATCTTTTTTCCTTTATCTTTTAATATGGTAAATTATAATAATCAATTTTCAAATATTAAACTCCTTCTGTATTCCTAAAATAAACTCCAGTTTTCAATAATTTATTATTTCTCTTTTATACATTTCTAAATTTTACTTGCTAATATTTTTATTTTTTTTAATTGTTTTGAGATGGAGTTTCGCTCTTGTCACCCAGGCTGGAGTGCAGTGGCGCAATTTGGGCTCACTGCATCCTCTGCCTCCCGAGTTCAAGCAATTCTCCTGCCTTAGCCTCCCGAGTAAGTGGGATTACAGGCTTGTGCCACCATGCCCAGCTAATTTTGTAATTGTGGTAGAGATGGGATTTATCCATGTTGGTCAGGCTGGTCTCGAACTCCCAACCTCAGGTGATCTGCCTGCCTCAGCCTCCCAAAGTGCTGGGATTACAGGAATGAGCCACCATGTCCAGCCTTTGCTAATATTTTTAAAGGAAAATTTTCCATATGTATTTATAAAAAAGAATAGTTTGTCATCTTTTTATAATATCTTATTCAGGTTTGAATGTTATAACCTGTTCAGATTTATGTTGACACCCAAATGATTTGGAAATGTTTATTTTTCTACTCTCTGAAGGAGTTTGAACAAATTAGTGAAAATTTTGACATAATATTCAGGAGAATTCACTATTGTGAATTAGAAAAGGTTTTTAATGAACAACTTTAATGTAATAGATATGACTAATCAGATCTTCATTTCTTCCTGTTTCCGTTTTGGAAAATTGTGTTTTTAAAGGATGTTTTCTGTTTTATGTAATTGTCAAGTTTGTTGACATAAAATTGTTCATAATATTCCCTTTTTATTTTTTAAATGTCTGTAGGCTGCTAGTTGTATGTGTGTGTGTGTGTGTTTTTTATTCCTGATATTGGCAGCTGGTGTCTTCCTCCTTTTTTCTTGATTGTCTTAAAGTTTTAAATTTCTATCATTACAAGAAACCAACTTTTTGCTTCCCTGATTTTCTGTTGTATATTTGTCATTTATTTAGTTTTTGCTTATGTGTGTGTATAAAATTTTCTTCCATCTTTATTTGCATTTGATTTGCTGTTCTTTTTCCAGCTTCTTAAGATAAAAGCTTAGATTATTGATTTTTGGCCTTACTTTTCTAACATGTGCATTTAAGGTTTAAAATTTCCCTCTAAGTACTGTTTTGATATGCCAGGTCTTAATTTTTCAAAATATTTGGAAATTTCTGTTGTGATTTCTTTTTTGACTCATGGTTTATACAATTTAATTTAAAAATATTTGGAGATTTCCTGTTATATTTTTATTTCCGGCTTAATTCCATTGTGGTCAGAGAACACAGTCTGAGTCGTTTCAATTTTTTTTTTTTTTTTTTTTTGAGAAGGAGTTTTGTTCTGTTGCCCAGGCTCACTGCAACTTCCACCTTCCAAGTTCAAGCAATTCTCCTGCCTCGGCCTCCCGAGTAGCTGGGATTACTGGTGCCTGCCAGCATGCCTAGATGCCTAGATGAATTTTGCAATTTTAGTAGAAACGGGGTTTCACATGTTGGCCAGGCCGGTCTCAAACTCCTGACCTTGTGATCTTCCTGTCTTGGCTTCCTGAAGTGCTGGGATTACAAGGCATGAGCCACCATACCCTGCCTCAATTCTTTCTTAAAAATTTGAGGCTTCTTTTATGACCAAGAATATGAACAACTTTTTTATATCCTACATGCATGTAAGAAGAATGTGTATGCTCCAGTGTGCTGTTATGTCCATTTATTTGAATATGATGTTCGTGTTGTTCAGATCTTCAATATTTTTTGCGTGTGTTTTGTCTTTTTATTCTAATAGGAATTGAGAGAGTTGTATTAAATCTCCCAGTGTACTTGGGTTTGTCTACCTTGCATTTGTATTCTATCAACTTAACTTTATATATTTTGTAGTTGTCTAATTGGGATGTATTCAGTCTCAACTAACATATTTCTGATATATTTATTTCTTTAGTATTACACAACACTTCTCTTTATCTCTAGTAATGTATCTTTCCTAAAAGTCTTTGTCTTATGTAAGTATAACTACCTAGATTTATTTTGGCTAGTGTTTATATTACTATATACTTTATCCCATTCTTTTAAACTTTTACTCTTTCTATGTTCACACACACAACACACTTATTTGATAGAATAAAGTCATTTCTCTTTAATCTAATCTGATAATTTTTGTTGTTTAATTGTATTATTTAATCCAAGTATAAGTAATATAATATCTGATATCTTTCCATTTATACTTACCATCTAATTATTTTTCTATTTCTCACTAAAGTTTAATTTTCCTTTTGGATTATTCAAATATTTGTAATTTTTATTCCTTCAGTTAGTATTTTATTACTTTGAGGGTTATCCAAGAAATCCCAGCATCTTCAATCTACAAGAATCTAACACACATTATTAATTTTACAACTTCCATGATAATGCCTAGAGCCTTAACACTTTCTAACTCTATTTATACCTTTGCCTTGTACATTACTGTTGTTATAAATTTAAATTATATATATAATTTAAATTATTTAAGAAACTAGCATTAATATTATTGCCTTGTATAATCAATATTCAATCAACATTCATTTACATTTACCTTTCTTGTTCTTCATTTCTTCCTGCAATTCCGTGATTTCTTTTGGATTGTTTTCCTTCTGCCTAATGCATTTCATTAAAAGTATTTCTTGGCCAGATTCAGTGGCTCATGCCTGTAATCCCAACAGTTTCAGAGGCTGAAGTGGGCAGATCCCTTGAGGTTAGGAGTTTGAGACCAGCCTGGCTAACATGGTGAAACCCCGTCTCCACTAAAAATACAAAAATTAGCTGGATGTGGTGGCACATGTCTGTAATCCCAGCTACTCAGGAAGCTGAGATGGGGAGAATAGCTTGAACTCAGGAGGTGGACATTGCAGTGAGATTGTGCCACTGTACTCCAGCCTGGGTAACAGAGTGAGACATTGTCTAAAAAAAAAGAAGAAATAAATGATTTCTTTTACTGCAGGTGTGACTGTCATTAATTCTCTCAATTTTTGGCTGAAAACTGCATTCATTTTTGAAGAATATATTTGGCTCCTTTAACAGAAATGTATTCTTTTTTATATGGTTGCTTTTGAAATTATCTCTTTGACTTTGGTCTTGAGAAACTCTCCTATGATATGCATAGGTGGACTTTGTTTTTATTTATCCTGCTATTATTTATTTCTTGTGAATCTTGAAGGGTTAGGGATTTTCACCAATTTTGGAAAAGTCTTTATCATTATCTCTTCGAATGTTGCTTATTCTTCATTCTTGCTCTCTCTTTTAGTATGTTAGAGTTTTTAAACATTATATTCCACATATCACTAATGTTCTTTTCTGTATTTTTCATTATTTTTTTCTCTGTGCTTGTATTTGGATATTAATATTGAATTGACTTGCATTTACTAATCCTGTATTCTTTTATGGCTATGCCATTAAACTATTTAAGTAGTTTTAATTTCAGATAATATAATTTTTCAGTTCTAGAATTAACTTCCACTTTTAAAGTTCAGTTCTCCATTGAAATTGTCTCTTTCTCTATTGTTCTTTATTTTTAACGTATTAGTCTTACTTATTTTAAAATCATTCAGTTAATTTTAATACCTGAATAATCTGTGGGTCATTTGTATTGTCTGTTTTTTCTCTTGGTTTTTGTTCATGCTATCCAATTTTTAGTGTGTGTACCTAGTAATTTTTTATTGAATGCTGAATACTTACATAAAAAGCTATCCAAGTTTAAGGTATTACCTTTCTCCAGCAAGAGTTCATCTCTTCCTCTGTTAATTTGATAGAGTTATGTCTAAACAAGTCATCTAAACTGAAACAGGCACTGGGCTTTGTCAAGGTTCTTTGCAGTCCTGATAAGCACTTGGCTCTCCAGAATTTTCAGCTGAGAACTTTGTATATTCTCCACAGCCTCTTCCTAGAGCAGGTCCTAAACTCTGATCTTTCAATAGCAAGACTACTAAAACTTCACTTTGATTTTCAGGAATTTCCCAATTAGGTTTTTAGTCTTAGTTTGACAAGTGTCCTGAGGGGAAAATTTGGCCATGAATTTGAATCTTTCAGTCGACCCAAACAGCTATTTAAGATACTCTGTCTCTGACAAAAGCTTCTCAGACTTAGCAAATTTCCTCAGGGTAAAACTTCTGTCAGGAGTCAATTTTCACCTCCAAGAATTTTCCTTCTCAGGAATCTTAGTCCACTCAGATCTTATTATATTATGTGTTTTCAGTTACTTCAAACAAATAATTTTACATTTTAACCAATTTTTAGGGTGGCTTTCTGCTGCTAGATAATTTATCTACTCTGGAAGCAGAATTTCACCAAATATATGCATAAGTTTTAACCTCAGACAATTTTAAATATATTCTGTAACTTTTAATAGGAAAAGAAGAGGGGGTCATATTGTTTGTTTTGTTTTGTTTTGTTTTGTTTTGAGACAGGGCAAGACCCTGGGCTCAAGCAATCTTCCTGCCTCAGCCTCCTGAGTAGCTGCAACTACAGATGTGTGCCACCACGACCAGCTAATTTTTGTTGCAATTGTTGAAACAGGGACCTCACTATATTACCCAGGCTGGTCTCAAACTCCTGGCCTCAGGCAATCCACCTGCCTCTGAAGTGCTGGGATTATAGCCATGAGCCAACACACTCAGCCTCAAAGCCATCTTATTTAAATAACTAATAATAAATGGAAGAAGAATTAAAGTTGACTACCATATTTATGTCTTACATATTTGTATAGGTTCTGTTCTCACTTTTATTTCTTCTTCACTTCAATTTTTAAATCAAATAAATGCTAAAACTATGTTTTAAGAATAACTTAAACTGTCAATAACTGTCCTTTTTATTTCATTACATGTTAGAGTAATTCAGGAAAAAGTGTAAGGAATTTAACTCCAGTAGAATGATACTTGAAACTTAAAAATAAATGTTTGATTATAAAGCAAGTTCTTCAATTGCTCATATTCTGCCCAAAGTAAAATAGAGGTGTCCTATAGTTATATCCATACAATTTTAACTAGTTTACTGTGCTTATTGATCACAGCATAAAACAATTATGATTCAGATAAATTTATTATTGTTCCAGTCTCTTCAAGGACAAAAATAATATTATTTCATGCAAGTGCAACTGTGGCATAATTGAGAAGTTAAATTGATTCAAAATAACTGAAGGTTACATTAAAGAACCTTAAACATTAAAGAACATTAAAAATTATTTTTTATAAAGACTGTCCTTATCTGTAAAGTAATGTAAAGTGAAAAACCTAAGATCAACTGATTCTCAGATTTAAACAGAATAGACAAGATACAGAAGAAATTTCCTGATTCTTTTGAAAGATGGGGAGAAGCTGTAGGAAAAACAAAAAATATAAACATATTAAAGTATACTTGGATTTTTATTTGTAGGGCAAAAGGAATTACAAGGAGACCTGAAGTTCTCAAAGGTCTTGATTTGGGGAAGAAATGTGGGGCTTATTTAAGATTCCGAGATTATTTAACAGTTTTATTTAGTGAAAGGTTACGGCAAAGTATATGAGATTTTTCTCTTTAATAATTATTAGCAAATGATGTTATTTTTACAAAAGTTAATATTAGTATTTATGGAACATTACCATATGCTAGGTAAGTAGGAACCAAATAAACAATATAATCACTAGACATATGATTATGTCACGAGAGGAAATGGGTCACAATTTTAGTGCACTACTAATTTAATGAAATGCATGTTTATATAGAATTTCTAAAAACGAGTATACTAAATTTTATGCTCATGGTGATTAAGAGGGCTTAGTCTGGTACAGTCAACCAGAAAGGAGAAGGTAATTATAAAGTTAATTACAAAAAATTTCAAACACTCTGGCCTTGCGAACATTAAGTTACATGGTAAAGACAGGTACAACAAATACTTAGAAATTCAAGAGTTCATATATTCACTTAAGCGTTCCATTAAAAAGATGTTAATGTAAGAATTTCATTAAAACATAATCTATTTTTATCCTAATTGAGTAATTTATAGTTATGGAAAGATTAACCATCAATAGATCAAATGTAGAGAAAATAATATTCAGTGTAACTAAAAATGTTAAGTGCAATTTGTAACCAATTTAGCTATATCATGCATAGATTTGAAATTGTATAAATATTTATATAAGTAGACAATTTTAAAAAATAAAGACATTATAATGGGATGTTTGACAAAACGGCTCACCAAACTAAATACAACACTTAACTGAATACAAAGCTATTCCTGAAGTTGGGGTTTTCCTTAATTTCCCTCCCGGTGTCCTGAACCAAGAGATTAGGAAATATTGGCTTCAGGAACTTGAACTCACCAGTCCCAGAGTCTCCCGTCAGGCACACCTCGTACTGGTAGCTCTGGGACAGGGTCCCGGTGCCGCTCACGTCCACCAGATGCCCTGGAAACGGGCCCTCGGGCACCGAGCAGCGACCCACCGAGGCCGCCCTGCTCCTCCTGCACAGCCGCACCGCCACGAACAGGAGCACCGAGAACAGGAAGAGCGACGACACCGAGGCCAACGCCACCACCAGGTAGACGGTGAGCGAGTCGGCCTGGGCCTGGGCCGGGGCCGCCTCCGGGAGCGGCAGGTAGGGCTGGGAGAAGCCGTCCACCAGGAGCACGTGCAGCGTGGCGGTGGCCGAGCGCGGAGGCTCGCCATTGTCCTTGACCAGCACCAGCAGCCTGTGCTTGGCCGCGTCGCGCTCGCTCAGCAGCCTGGCGGTGCGCACCTCGCCATTGTGCGCCCACACGCCGAACAGCCCGGGCTCCGTGGCCTTGAGCAGCTGGAACGACAGCCAGGCGTTCTGGCCCGAGTCGCCGTCCACCGCCACCACCTTGGTCACCAGGTAGCCCGGCTCGGCCGCCCGGGGCACCAGCTCGGTGCAGGGCGCGGAGCCGTTCTGCAGCGGGTACAGCACGAAGGGCGAGTTGTCGTTGGCGTCCAGCACCAGCACGCGCACCAGCGCCTCGCTGCTCAGCGCCGGGGAGCCGCGGTCTGTGGCGCCCACGCGGAACTCGAACGCCTGCAGGGCCTCGTAGTCCAGCGACCGGAGGGCGAACAGGTGTCCGTTGTCCGCGTTGATGGAGACCAGGGAGGCGAGGGGCAGTTGCGTGTCCTGGGGCGGCAGCAGCGAGTAGGTGACCTGGGCGTTGGCTCCAGAATCTCTGTCTGTGGCGCTGACGCTGCCGATGTGCAGGGCGGGGCTGTTGTTCTCGCGGACGAAGAGGGTGTAGGCGGTTTGTGTGAAGGCGGGGGCGTTGTCGTTGACGTCGGAGACCAGCACGCTTAAGCTCTGCTGGGTTTTCAGCTTGGGTGTCCCCAAATCAGTTACGGTAATGGTAATGTTGTACCCGTCTCTGGTCTCTCTGTCCAGTGGTCTCTCTGTTACCAGGGTGTAAAAATTCTTCAAAGTCGGTTTTAGAATAAACGGTAGATTATCTGGAATAGAGCAAATCATCTTGCCATTGTCTCCAGAATCTCTATCTCGAATTCGAAAGATAGAGACTACCGTCTCAGGAGCATTTTCTGGGATGGAGCTGGTGAGTGAAGATATGATAAGTTCTGGGGGATTGTCATTCACATCCATCACCTCTATGACTACAGTGCCTTTCCCAGAAAGGCCTCCTCCATCTGTGGCCTCAATTTCTACATGGTAAGATTTAATTTTTTCGAAATCCAATTTTTTCTTCAGTAGTATGTCTCCCGTGACTTCATTTATTGAGAAAGTTTGTTTAATTTCATCTGATGCTTGGAATAAGTCATAAGAAACACTCCCGAAGTTTCCAGCATCTGCATCTCTAGCTAAGACCCTAAGAATTGGAGAGTCTAGGGGGCTGTTTTCCAGGACCTGCACCCGATATGGGGTGTGCACAAACTCAGGAGCATTGTCATTGACGTCTATGATCAGGATTCGAACCATGACCGTGCCAGACCTAGGTGGAGACCCACCATCCAGCGCCACGAGGGTTAAGCTGAACTCAGGCTGCTCCTCTCGATCCAGTGGTTTGTCCTGCACCAAATCTGGGTATTTCTTGCCCTCACTATGATTTCGAGTGAGAATGTGAAAATGAGAATTGGAGCTGATTGTGTATTGTTGGAGACCGTTGCTGCCCACATCCAAATCCTCCGCTATTAACAACGGAAATAGAGTCCCCGTCTGGCTATTTTCCGGTATTTTCAAGAGCACTTCCCTTGCAGGGAATACTGGAGAGTGGTCATTTATGTCCTGGATCATTAGTTCTCCTTGAAAAAATTGCACCGGCATTTCCAGGAACACTTGGAAATGCAGTACACACGGTTCAATATGACCACAGAGCTCTTCCCGATCTAGTTTCTCCCTCAGAAGCAAATCTCCAGTCTGACCATCCAGCTGCAAACGCTGCTTGTCATCGTCAGACACCACCCTGGCTGACCTGGCAGCCAGTTCCCCAGTTCCCAGGCCCAGATCCTTGGTCAGATGGGCTACAAAGGAGCCGCTCTCTGTTTCCTCCAACACAGAATAACGAATAGGCTCGGGGCGGACCCGAGACACGAACACCACCAAAATAAAGGCCAACACTTGCCTGTTTGGATGAACTCTCTCTAGCTTCTTCATGTTGCAGTCCAGGTCCTTATATCAAATCCCTTCAGCAACCACAAAAAGACTTGAGACATTCAATTCTAATTTTTTGCTTGGAGGAATCGTCACAAAGTTGCTTTTAATATTAAATTTGTTTAGTATATCGCTGCCCCAAACAGTTGGTAACCCTGCACTGCTTGCGACACTTCTTCCGTGTGTTTTTGATTGGATCTAGCGACACAAAAGAATACGCGAGCTTTTTAGAGCTCTTTATTCACAACTTAGCCTGCAGCGCCACCCTGCGTCTTGATTGAGAAATTAACAATTTCGAGACCCCTTATTCGGGAAGTTTTCAAATGAAAGCCATTTTTAAGTGTAAAGAATTTTTTTTACAAACTTCGTTATTACATTAAATGGCATAGTTTAAAAAGTTATTTCATTACAGTGCATGAACCCGAATAATCATGGGCACAAATCAAGAAGATATCTCAGTTTCCCCACACACTTAGCAGTGAAACTTCGAAGAACTCTATTTCTCCTTTGCATAATCCAATCACAGGAGACATATTTTTAGACACTTTCAATTCAGTTAATAATAGTTACATATGTTCTTTTCTAAGAATGTGAGGACTTTGTGATGATGCAAAAGTTTATGATGTTCTGTACTACATGGTCTAAAGGGGGACTATCTTTGAAATGATATTTTCACATTTTGCTACTTTAAAGTGCAAATAGTAATACAGGTGAATGAATAGATATCTTGTTTTGTATCAAGCAATTTACAGTGTGAGCCTACATTGAATCTAGGAGTAAGGCAAATAGTATTAGAATCACAGATAATTAGAACTAGAGAGGAAATGAAAGGGGTTTTACAGATAAGGAAACTGAAGTTCAGAGGTTGACAGGACTTGATTATTATCAGGATAATGTCAAGACAAAAGTGAGGAATGATCATAGAATTTTGTTAACATAAAGGCTTCAAGCTGAACTTATTTAGTGAGATACATGGAATCTATATTTTATAATGAGTTTGCCTGTTACTACATTCACCTTTTGTATCCCAGAGAATCAGCTAATTTTGGGGAAAACAAGAAGCACTGATTTAAAATAATTTAATCTGTGAGCAAAGGGTGACTTAGGCTATCTCTACTCAGATATGGTGAAGTAAAGAGACTTGTGTATAAAATGGATCCCAGCACAGCATGTAGCTACTGTGATTACTCTCAAATAATAAGAAAAAACTGGCATCACTGAGACACAGTTAACCAATTTATTGGTTTCAATTAATATGTTGAATGGAGCACCACTTATCTTGTTATTTCATTTAACTATCCAATTCATGTAAGTGATTATAATTTATAGTTAATGTTAAATGAATTATTTTTAAAGTATAAAATCTGAGATTTCAGATCCTGATAGTAATAGAAAGTATTAGTAAAAATTATTTTTGAAAGATGCATGGATTTTATTCAGTGCATACCAGTTGAATTAATAAATTAATCCACTCAAATGATGTTTTTATCTATATAAGCCGATTATTATCAGATCATATATTAAGTCATGAACACGTCTGAAACCAAATACAGATTTTGAGAATATAATACTTGCTAAGCATTATATAACTAAATTTACTTTGATTCTATTAATTCCTGTAAGGGATATATCTATGGCAGTAATAATAATATTAACATCTTAGAATTTTCTTTCACATTTAAAGTAAATCAGAGAAGATACACTATGCATCACTATTAAATTAAAAACCACAAAAAATATATAGCGAAAAGAATAAAAAGAAAGAATATTATTTTAGACATAAATGGAAAACAAATCTCCTGGGCAAACCAAAGAGAAAATTGTTTTAATATAGTAACCAGGTTTTAGTTAGATTCAAGTTATTGCATTCAGGACAAAATTCAAACCATATTTTATTTACTTATTCCTACATGTTGAAATAGAGTAAGAACTGGCTCTTTTCAGTTCCTTTTGCAATCCAAAAGTAAAAATGAAATCTCAATAACATTAACATATATATTGACTATATGCCAGATATTTTTCTGAGCATTTTACATATATTGACTCATTTTATCACCCCAACAACACTATAAGCTGGGCACTCTTATTAGCCACATTTTATAGATGAAGAATTGAGACACAGAGAGTTTAAATAACCTGTCCAAAGTCATATAGCATGTGAAATGGCAGAGCCAGGATTTGAACTGTTACAACGTGAATCCAGAAACCATTCTTTTATATGCCCAAGTAGAGTTGGAGAGGTGATAACGTTTTAGATAATTTAGATCCCAACTTCAGCCTTGCCTTGGGTACATAGTTATCATAGGTGAAATATATTTATATTCAAGTTTCAATTATTGTTAGAAACTTACAAATGACTTGTCTCTCTTTAGAGATAGTTACCAATAAAGAGAGATGTTTATACAAACTTACAATTTGGAAAGAAAACTAATATTCAATATTTTTGTCAAGATCATTAATCAGGTGAAAAAGATTAAGAGTGACATAATGAATTACTCATAGCCTTAAATGTTGGATAAATTGTATAGATCTTTTGAAAAGTTGTTTTATTTTCTGATAAAGCGTTTAAAGTTACAATCAAGAAGGGTGGTCTAGAAGAATGGCCTAGCATACTATGCCATAGATTATTTCCCTAATCTCCCATGTTTACCAGAAAAAAACCAGATCTATTATACCCAAATGGAGGATAAACCAATGAATGATCTAAGATAAGCTAATGATATAAAGAATGAGCACCTGAAAACTACTTCATCCCAGTCAGGAAAGCCATATTATTCATTCTGAAGGATTCATATGACTATTTACATAATTGGTTGCCAGATCTGAAGTGTGATATTTAAATTATTATCATTTTAAATATACAAAGAGAGATGAAATAGAGGAATACACATAAAATGTGGGCAAGGACCTTATCATTGAAGGAAAGACAAAAATAATTTTAAAGAAATTTCAGGCTTGGCATGGCAGCTCATGCCTGTAATCCCAGCACTTTGGGAGGCCAAGCAGGAGGATCACTTGAGCTTAGGAGTTCGAGACCAGCCTGGGCAACATAGCAAGACCTTATCTCTAAAAAAAGAATTGTCCAGAGGTGGTGGCATGCACCTGTAGTCCCAGCTACTTGAGAGGCTGAGGTGGGAGGATCACTTGAACCTTGGAAGTTGTTCAGTAAGGCATGATTGTGCCTGGGTGGCAAAGTGAGATTCTTTCAAGAAAAAACAAAACCAAAATCTACTAAAATAAATAAATGAGTTCAGCAGAGTTTCAAGATACAAGATCACTATACAGAAATCAATTGTATTTCTTTACAGAGTTGAACAAACCAAAACTGAAATCAAGAAAACATTCAATTTATAATAGATGTCATCAAAAGGAATGAAACGCTTAGGAATAAACTTAGCAACAGAAGTGGGAGAACTGAACACTACAAAACATCACTGAAAGAAATTGAAAGAAGTCTAAGTAAATGAAAGCACTCATGGACTGGAAGACTTAAGATTGTTAAAATATTGGTACCCTCCAAATTGCTCTACAGATTTAGTGCAATCCCAATCAAAATTTCAGTTGACTTTTTTGCAGAAACTGACAAACTGACCCTAAGATTCACAAGAAAATGCAAGGGACCCAGAATGCAAACTTAGGGAAAAAGGAACAAAGTTGAAAAGCCCATACTTTCTGACTTTAAAGATTTATTCTAAGATATTACATAAGAGTATTTTGATATATTAAACTTATAAATACTATTTTTATTCTAGAAGAAGTTATTATAAATTATCTTAGATTCCATCACAAATTTCTCAAGACAACTCTAGTTATTCAAGCATCTCCTTCCTACATTTACATTTCAGTGAGTATGACTTTAAAAATATCTTATCGGTTTAAGTTTGGAAGGTTATAGCTAATGTAAAATTTACTTTGCTTTCACCACTGAGCACTGTTGTTTGCTTTACAGCTATTTCATTCCAATGGTCAGCTGATGAATCTGATGTACCTATTTAATAGAACATTACAGGAGATCATTCTTTTTATAAGAACTTCTAATAAATTCCACAAACCAATGATATTAACCATTTATTATTGTTAGCTTAACATTTTGAAATAGTGTATTGGAAATATGATTTAAGGAAATAATAGTCAAAATCTAATACCTATTTCACCCTTTATCTCTCTCAAAAATCAGTGTTTAATTTCCCTCTATTCTTCCCTTTCAAAGTAAGAACAAAACGCCATCAAGTCATCATTAAATTTTTTAAATACTCTTTCATTTTTAAAATAGACTATTCAAAACTTAGAAGTACAAATTTAACAATTTTTACTTTAGGATGATGTATATTCAAATCCCTTTTTAAATATTCTTTTCTTTTTTGAGATAAGGTCACACAGGCTGGAGTGCAGTGACACAATCATAGCTCACTGCAGCCTTGAGCTCCTGGGCTCAAGCAATCTTCATGCCTTGGCCTCCTAAGTAGTTGGGACTACCGGTGCAAGCCACCACATCCAGCTAGGTTTTTTTTTAAAAAATTGTAGAGATGGGGTCTTGTTATGCTGACCATCCTGGTCTTGAACTCCTGGCCTCAAGCAATCCTCCCACCTTGGCCTTCCAAAATGCTGGAATTACAGATATGAACAACTGCAACTGGCCCATTGTTCGATTTTAACATGCTGAACCAACCTTGCATTCCTGAGATAAATCCCACTTGGCCATGGTATACAATTATGTTTATGTGACACTAGAGTCAGTTTGCTAACATTTTGTTGAGAATGTTTGCATCTATATTCATAAGGGAAATTGGTATTTATGTTTTTCCTTGTGTTATCACTGTCTGGTTTTGTCATCAGGTTAATACTGGCTCTATAGAAGAGAGTTGAGAAATAGTCCCTGCTCTTCTATTTTTTGAATGAGTGTATCAAGTACTGGTGTTAATTCTTGTTTAAACATTTGGCAGCATTCACCAGTGAAGACATCTGGTCCTGGGCTTTTCTTTGTGTAAAGTTTTTGATTACTGGTTCAATCTCTTATTACAGTCTATTCAGGTTTTGTGTTAGGTTGGTATAAAAGTAATTGTGGTTTTTGCCATTGAAAATAATGACAAAACCCCAACTACTCTTGCACCAGCCTAATATTTCTCCTTAGTCAGTTTTGGCAATTACAGGCCTATTCACATTTTCCTTAGTTAATTTTGGTAGTTTATGTTTTCTATTTAATCTAAGGTTTTTTTTCCATTTCATCTAGGTTTTCTAATTTTTTGGCTTAAAATTGTTTATAATATTTCCTTATAATATCTTTTAAGACCTGTGAAATAGGTCATACTTTTCCCTATTTTTTCTTAATTTTAGTAATGTATTAAATTTAGCAATAAATTATTTAAATTTAGTAATTTAGTAGTCCTCTCTCTTTTTTCATCATCAGTCTAGCTAAAGCTTTGCCAATTTTGTTGAACTTTTCAAAGTTTATTTTAGTTTATTTTCTCTATTGCTTTTCTATTCTCTGTTTTATTTATTTCCACTCTAATTTAATAATTTTCTTTCTTCAGCTTGTATTGGTTTTAGTATGCGCTCCTTTTTCTATCTTCTTCAGGTAAAAGTCTGGGTTACTGATTTGAGATATTTTTTAAAATATATAGATATTTCAGCTAAAATTTTCTCTCTAAGCACAACTTTTATTGTATCCTGTAAGTTGTGGCATGTTGCATTTTCATTTTTATTTATTTCAGAATATTTTACAATGTCCCTTGTGATTTCTTCTTTGATTCATCAGTTATTTAAAAATGTTTAAAAATGTGAATTTCCGAAATTTTCTTCTGCCATTGCTTTCTAATTTCATTTCATTATAGCTGGAAAACATACTTTGTATGATTTTAACTCTTTTAAATTTATTAAGACTTGTTACCTGTTTTATGGCCTAATATACAATCTATCCTGGAGAATGTTTCATTTGCACTTGAAAATAATGTGTATTCTGCTGTTGCTAGATGGAGTATTCTGTTAGGTATTGTTGGTTTATAATGTTATTCAAGTCTTCTTTTCTCATGTTGACACTGTTTCATTGTTTTCTCATTTATCAAAAATTATGGTATTAAAGTCTTCAGCTAT